AGATTTCCATTGCTCGCAATAAACCAGACGCACACTCTCAGATATGCGCTGCACTAGCCCAGCGAGTGTGCTCGCACTTAAAACGTGTCTGTTGCAATTGCGAATCTCTCCTCTTGCTCAAAGTGTGCACGCTCAAACTGTGTCCTTTGCACTCGCAAATCTCTCCGTGCTCTTGCACTAGAAACAGTGCTTGAAGTGGGAAAAAAAGAAGTGCTCAACTCTTACTCAACTTAATTTGCATAATTCCCAATGTATGTATATAATGCCGAAATAAAGAAAGAAAACTGTTTAGAGCATTTTTAATATGAATAAGCACCAGTTAAGCTGCGATACCAAACAGCACCACAGGGAGACGCCAAAAGACCACTAAACCTGCTGCCTTAACCTGACTGTACATGCTACTATATGGATCCATGCAGAATAACTAAACCACTGACCAGCATAATCTAAACCACCTTCAGCTGGCATTCATTATAAAACACTTGTGCTTTTAAGCCAAATACATGGTGAAAAGAATAATTTTACTGCCATCTAGACGCGAGTTACTATTCTCTCTGCCATCTTTGATGAAATCGTCCGTGTTTTCTCTGCATTAGCGATGTTTTGAACTTATTACTAATGCATTCCCTTCTGGATCCTTGAACTTTCCAGAAGTTTACCGATTTCAAATGACCTCCTGGGTAGTGTGCTTTATAGTGTCATTTCTAATCACCATGTGAACAACATGTCAGAAGTCACATTTCAAGCAATGACTAGAAATGAATTATTTTCGCACCCGAGAGTGAATTTACAGTTACATGACAGTTACAGATAACTACTTTGTCTGCAAATTCATTAATTAAACCCATATAATATAATAATGTTATGACAAATATGAGAAATTCGTTATGGTGGTATACAGGTGCATCTCAATAAATTAGAATGTCATGGAAAAGTTCATTTCAGTAATTCAACTCAAATTGTGAAACTCGTGTATTAAATAAATTCAATGCACACAGACTGAAGTAGTTTAAGTCTTTGGTTCTTTTAATTGTGATGATTTTGGCTCACATTTAACAAAAACCCACCAATTCACTATCTCAACAAATTAGAATACTTCATAAAATAAATGAACTTTTCCACGACATTCTAATTTATTGAGATGCACCTGTATATTCCACATTTTAATTATTTAGGAAATAGTGCATCTGCACCTTGCTCTAAATAGTTCTGTCTTAAATCAGAAGATGTTGTATATATATTTCAACACAAGTACACAAGACATGTATGACCACTTGAACCGAATTATATACGTTTTTTGTTTGTTTAGATAAATCTCTCAGAGGTTTGACCAACCAGTTAGACAGACTAGGTTATTTATTTGTACAAATCTTCCAAGCACCCCAATCCCAGCCATTTCTAATATACATTTGATTAATATGACTAAATTTGATTAAATTGTAAAGAAATTTTAGCTCCATCTTTGATTGTCAAAGGAATTCCAGGTGTAGTTCCCTCTCAGCCAATTAGATTTCATGCAGCATTTTCATCGGGCAGTCGTGGCAGTCTGATTTGTAGATAACTTTTGACAAGGTTTAGCCCAGGTGCGAAAATAATTATTTTCCAGCGCACAGGACACAGTTTGAGCACTCACTTTGAGCGAGAGAAGAGATTCGCAATTGCAACGGACACGTTTTAAGTGCGCACACACTCTTCTGGGTGAGAGCAGCGTATATCTAAGAGCGTGCATCCGGTTTTGTGCGTGAGCAAAGGAAATCCTTGTGCGAGTGGAGAGATTCGCGCATCATATTAATGTACTTTCGTGCTACAACAGTGCGCTCTCGACATTTGTCAGTAAAATAATGCTAATATAAAATACCTACACCTGAAAATTTAAGTTTCTTGTGAGCACGCAAAACGTTTCTCGTGAGCACGCAAAACATTTCTCGTGAGCACGCAAAACGTTTCTCGTGAGCACGCAAAACATTTCTCGTGAGCACGCAAAAACACGCACACTTTGAGCGAGAGAAGAGATTCGCAAAACGTTTCTCGTGAGTACGCGATAGTCTGTTTTTGTTTTGTTTTTTTGCAAAGGTCCCTTTAGGGGCTCGTAGTTATGCGGTGATGCGCTATGAAATTATTGCGGGGCAATTTTATGTGGGGTGTAAATATACTCATCTAATTGGCATATTATGGCGTCATCAGGGGGTAGCCATCTTGAATTTCATAATATTCAGGAAATAGTAGATATTGAATTGATGTTTGAACTTATTTGCATGATTTTTTTTTGTGTGTCTTTTTATCCTCATTCCAAATGATCAGAAAAAGGAAACCAACAATAAAACAGGAGAAAGTACTAAATTATTACTATACTACTATACTATATAGTAGTAAAACGCATGTGAACAGTAGCCAACTTATTTGCATGTTTTTTTTGTCTTTTTATCTTCATGCGCTCTCGACATTTGTCAGTAAAATAATGCTAATATAAAATACCTACACCTGAAAATTTAAGTTTCTTGTGAGCACGCAAAACGTTTCTCGTGAGCACGCAAAACATTTCTCGTGAGCACGCAAAACGTTTCTCGTGAGCATGCGAAAGTTTCTTGTGAGTACGCGATAGTCTGTTTTTGTTTTGTTTTTTTGCAAAGGTCCCTTTAGGGGCTCGTAGTTATGCGGTGATGCGCTATGAAATTATTGCGGGGCAATTTTATGTGGGGTATAAATATACTCATCTAATTGGCATATTATGGCGTCATCAGGGGGTAGCCATCTTGAATTTCATAATATTCAGGAAATAGTAGATATTGAATTGATGTTTGAACTTATTTGCATGATTTTTTTTTGCGTGTCTTTTTATACTCATTCCAAATGATCAGAAAAAGGAAACCAACAATAAAACAGGAGAAAGTACTAAATTATTACTATACTACTATACTATATAGTAGTAAAACGCATGTGAACAGTAGCCAACTTATTTGCATGTTTTTTTTGTCTTTTTATCTTCATTCCAAATGATCAGGAAAAGAGGCAATCAACAGTAAAACAGGAGAAAGTAGAAAATTATTACTATATTACTGTGCCATAGTAAAATGCATGTGCCTATTTTTTGAACAGTTGACCAGCTATCTGCCCAATCAGGTATCTAGGTGACACAGTTTATAGTTCTTGAGAGTATGGTACCTCTCATTGGTACCTACCCCACACTGACTGCACCGTGTACCGCGGCCACTCCCACCTCTTTGGGGCACTGAATTCAGAGCCGCTCTGACTGGATACAAAGAGCTAGTGCTACTTCCAGCCTTATTTCTCCTACCCCTGCTGCCTCTACCTCTAGCAACAGCTCTCATATGGACACTACGACCCCTGCCACCCCCCTCCCCATTGGGCAAAGGGTCAAAATGATCACTTGTTTGTGCTTCGTGAACACTCTCGCCTTGCACGGCGGCACCATTGCGCTGCAAAGACGTACCGCGAGAAGCGCGATCATTAGACGACCGATCGTCATTTCCAAAAGGCCATTTGGCGATTTTCTCTCACAAATCTCACAATTTACTCGCACGCTATAAACTGAACTGCTTCCGCATCAATGAACATGATAGCTCACTTGCTCTGCCATTTCCTCTAACACTTTGAATAGGAACGTGACGTAATTTTGGTCTAGAATCGAAGTACTAAATGCCCTATCTAGTGGTAGGGAATACAAATGAGATATTACACCATATTAGGAACTACAGTCTATTTTATTAAGTATGACGTCTTGTCGCAATTTTGCGACTTTGGCACTTAGAGGGTTAATAGTAACATAATAATAATAATAGGCCTAAAAATAATAAGAATGTAACAGGCCTACATTAATTGGAAATGCCAAATCCTCTTAATATTGCTAATATTTAATGCTTTTGACAATATCTCTGGCTATAGTCGACACATGATACGGCGTAACCCAGCACGGGGAGGTTATCGTGGGGGCCCCCCCAACGCCTCAGGCATGAGGCAGTGGTGTAGCGGACGGGCACGCACTGTGGGTGGCACAGTGCGTGCCCTGCGTGCCCATCCGCTACACCACTGCCTCAAGCCCGAGCTGGCTTTTGGCCTTGAGGAAGCCCTGACGAGGCATGATCAAGCTCCAGAAGTGACAGTGGAAACGCGAGTGGCCCTGGCATGCACTAGCACGCCCGCTTTTGACCCAACAATGGAAATGCAGTTATTGAGGATCCTAAATGGGTAAATAAATGGTGTTTTCAGACATAATTACTTACTTTTATTAGGTATTGCATTTGGAAATATAATTAGACGTTATCAAATTCTACATTTTGTTACTGTTTATACCATTTTTTTCTTAACTAACTCATAAGTGATATCTAACCGAGTCTTTGACCTCACTTTATCTGTGTGTTACAATAACACCATCTCGTTAGTATGTGTACATGGGTATGTGTGTTTACACTGTTGATTTTTTGAGTTTAGCTCCAAGTGCATCTAAAATAATCAATATCATAGCATTCCGAAAAAGTAAAAATATGAATAAATAAATTAAAAATAAAATAAAAGCATAAATGTTTTTGGTCTCTAACAACTAAAGACTAACAGAGGGTTTAATGCATCTGCCTCCCGTGCATTGTCTTCCTAAAGCAACCGGAGTGGCCATGTCAGAGATGCTTGGGCCAGTCATTGCTGCTTGCAGCTATATTCTTAATAAGATTTTATTGATTTATTTTTTTCATGTCTATAGTTTTATGAGTTTTAGTTTACGTATTTTGAGTTATTTTAGTACTTCACCTTAAACTAAATGAAAATGAAAACATTTGCCTTGACAACTAGCTAAAGTAAAGTACTTTTTTTTTTATTTTTTTTATATTATTATTATTTTTTTTTCAGCTAAGATTTTTTTAATTTCTCACGTAGTCTTAAAATCAGCACTCTACATCTCTCCTCATTTCTCAAATCTAATTTGTAGCTTTAATTTTCTATTGCTGTGAATCAGTATTAAAGTGAATATAGTATTTTATTCATTTTACCTTTCCCAGTGCTTGTGGTTGAGACCTGAGAAGTCATCGAGTTTAGCAATCTCCTTCAGATACAGAGACAACTTGTAGAGTTCTTTGTCTTTCTCACGGTTTAAGTGTGCCTTCATGAATGGTCTGATCTGTGACCAATACAGAATGACAGAAACAATTAATTGACACAACACTAGTGGTGGGAGAAGAAAAAAAATTGTTGCATCATGATTTTTTTTCATTAACGATTCTAGAATGATTTTGAAGAATTTATTTGTTTAGATCTTCACTACAGCTGGCACTTATATAAGAGCAAAACAATATTCTTCTTGCTGTCAGTTATCTTGTGAACAAGCATTTAAACTTCCATAAAATTTGGAAAGGTTGAGGCGAATCACTACGGGTTCATTGCACAGGATATGTGCTGTGAGAAACTTGCGCTTTTGCTCAATGTTGTAATGATTGTAAGTTTTGAAGCTACGCTATGAAACAAAAGTGTATATATATATATATATAGTACTGCTTGAAAGTTTGTGAACCCTTTACATTTCCACTGATTGAAAACACCTCTGAACAGATGGACTCTAATTTCACCCTTAAATTAACAGCTGATCAGAAATGTAACATTTGGTCATTTTTTTCAATAAATAAATGACAAATAAATTTTTTTTGTCTCATTTGTTTGATTGGGTTCTCTTTGTCTACTTTCAGGACTTGTAAGAAAATCTGATGATGAATTGGCATAAATCTAGGCTATCCGCTGCAGTTTTCAAAACACAATGCAAAACTGTGACATTTCATTCACTGACGCTCTTCAATCGGCAGCGCTAAACCTGGCAGCACATGTACTTACTTGCCGGCAACCAGCCAAAATAAAAGCTTGGTAATTTTAAGTTAGAAAATTATGGAAATTCATATATTAAAAAAGTAAATGTTAGCATTTTATTTTTAAGTTTATTATAATATTATTTTTATAATATAAATTATTTTATTTAATACTCCCTTTTTATTTTAAAATATAATCGTATTATCACATTTTATTACTTTATATATAAAATAAAACTAAAATAAAGTGCAATAATATTATTATCAGTATTATTAATTTATTTTTTGTATAGTTATATTTATTGGGTCACACTATGTTCGGTGTGAGGACCAAAACAAATCTCCAGGTACTCTTATGAGAACCAGGCTGCAAAACTTATGTGCACTCCTGTGCGTGTGTGTGTATATATATATATATATATATATATATATATATATGTGTGTGATATATTATAATTTAAAATAACTTTTTTTTTAAAATAATTTTATTTATTACTGTGATGAAAAGCAGAATTTTCAGCAACCATTGCTCCAGTCTTCAGCACTACATGATCCTTCAGAAATAATTCTGCTGAACTGGTGTTCAAGTAACATTTCTTCTTATCAATTTTAAAAGCAGTTTTGCTGCTTCATATTTTTGTGGAAACCGTGATACAGTTTTTAGGATTCTCTGATGATTAGAAAGTTAAAAAAAAAATCTACATTTTGAATAATATTTTTCTGTAATGCATTTATTTGTAATGCCTCCTTGGCTCAATAAAAGTACTAATTTCTTTAATATTTAATATTACTGGAGAATAATAAATAAGAAAAAATGTAGATTAAGAATCAATTTAGAATTGGATTGTGATTCCCAGAATCAGATTGGATTATGAGGCGCCAAAAAAATCTTAATTCCCTATTTAAATCAGAAATTAAGTGTAAACATCGACTCTAGCATACCTTCAGTCCATTCTGTGGATTCATGAGAAAGTTTCTTCCGATGTCATCAAACATAATTGTGTTCTTCCTGTTGTAGAACTCACTATATTTACCCCATATGACTCCTAAAGGCTTCACCTGAAACATTATAAGTACACATTATGCACTAATGGGATACTGGAGTTTAAAAGACGATTAAAGGTGACATATCATGAAAATCTGACTTTTCCAGTTTTGAAGTGCTATAATCAGGTCCCCGGTGCATCTACCAACCAAGGAAACGTGAAAAAGATTAACCCAGGAACTTTGTTTTTTGGTAAGCCTTTTTCTGTAAGCGTCTGAGAAAATGAGCGCATCCGATTTCGCTCTCTTGGTGATGTGGCAAAGGGATCTCATTATAATATTACCACCCCTTAATCTGTAAGTTTCCACCCACGGCGCTTTCATTTTGATTTCGCAAACGAAAACGGTGTACCAGCTCTAATGCCTTGGCGAAAGTTCTGTCTTTGGCTGCACAGACGAGCACAGAACACTATTTAGAGTCCCAGCCTCAGAGGAGACAAGAGAGCAGTGGATTTATTGATTTATTTACTGTATTGCTGCTGCCACACAGATCTAAAATAAACAATAAAAAATTTATTTCCCAGCTGTTTACCTTCACAGACATAACCGACTGTTTTTGTAACTCGTGTGTTTTTAACATAAACTTGTGTGTGAATGAGAACTTAGTTTAGTACTCACATGCTGTGACAGCCGCTTTCTGTCCGTGTGCTTCAGATGTGTGCACTCAGAAAACCGTATATCAGAAGTTTAAACTAATATGGTTTAAAACGCATGATAAACATGATAATCAGAACCAAAACAGATGTTTTTAGCAGGTACGAGCTGTAATGACGCAGCTCTATTCTGGAAAAGGGGGCGGGGAGCAGCAGCTCGTTTGCATTTAAAGAGACATGCCCGAAAACAGCGTGTTTCTGCTTCCACTCAAAATAGGCATTTTCAAAATGATATAATAAATGATCTGTGGGGTATCTTGAGCTGAAAATTTACAGACACATTCTGGGGACACCAGAGACTTATATTACATATTGTAAAAAGGTGTATAATATGTCTCCTTTAATATTAATTTCTACCATTGATTTAACTGTTACCACCCCTTAATCTGTAAGTTTCCACCCACGGCGCTTTCATTTTGATTTCGCAAACGAAAACGGTGTACCAGCTCTAATGCCTTGGCGAAAGTTCTGTCTTTGGCTGCACAGACGAGCACAGAACACTATTTAGAGTCCCAGCCTCAGAGGAGACAAGAGAGCAGTGGATTTATTGATTTATTTACTGTATTGCTGTTGCCACACAGATCTAAAATAAACAATAAACTTGAGCTGAAAATTTACAGACACATTCTGGGGACACCAGAGACTTATATTACATATTGTAAAAAGGTGTATAATATGTCTCCTTTAATATTAATTTCTACCATTGATTTAACTGCACTGCCACTACCGGACAAGAACAAAATTTGAACTGATTTGAGCTGGATAATAACACTACATTTGCAACATTGACACTGTTATTGAACTGAACTAAATTAACTAAATTGAGCTAAATAATGACACTACTATCTTTGTAGAGCTGCTTTAGAGTTTAAAGGAGACATATTATGCCCCTTTTTACAATATGTAATACAAGTCTCAGGTGTCCCCAGAATGTGTCTGTGAAGTTTCAGCTCAAAATACTCCACAGATCATTTATTATATCATTTTGAAAATGCCTATTTTGAGTGGAAGTAGAAACACACTGTTTTTCGGGCCTGTCACTTTAAATGCAAATGAGCTACTGCCCTTTTCCAGAATAGAGCTGTGCCATTACAGCTCGGACCTCCTAAAAACATCTGTTATGGTTCTGATTATCATGTTTATCGTGCTGAAATCATGCGGTTTAAACCATATGAGTTTGGTTAACTCTGTATGAGTTTGGTTAACTCTGTAACTCAAGTAAACTTCTGATATACGGTTTTCTGAGAGCACACATCCAAAGCACACGGACAGAAAGCGGCTGTCACAGCATGTGAGTACTAAACTAAGTTCTCATTCACACACAAGGGTAATATTATAATGAGATCCCTTTGCAACGACACCTAGGGAGCGAAATCAGACGCGCTCGTTTCCTCAGACGCTTGCAGAAAAAGGCTTACCAAAACAAAGTTACTGGGTTAATATTTTATCACGTTTCCTTGGTTGGTAGATGCACCGGGGACCTGATTATAGCATTTAAAACCTGGAAAAGTCAGATTTTCATGATATGTCACCTTTAAATTGAATTTGTTTTATAAGTGATGAATTTTACAACATTAATAATTATTTTCCTGTTTATTAATTTGATGTTGCTTTGAAACAACCTGCACTGTATAAACAATTTGTAGCTATAACTGTAAATAAATGTGACTTGACAGAGACAATGATGTGTTTTTTTTTTACTAGAGTATGTCTGACCTCTACAACTCCTCTTTTAGGTGTGTGCACAGTGATCATAGCTGCACTGTCCAACATGAAGGTGATCTTATAGTTTAGGTTGTCCGTCACCCCCAGTTCCTAAAAAAAAAAAAAAAAAATTAAGTATTAACCAATATGCTAATGAAAGTAAAGGGGGCCATACTTAACTATTTAACACAAGAGTACCATCATAAACTGAGGCACATTTGAGGCTTGTGGGAAAACTGCAAATTTCAGTGGAAAACCCTTTTAGCGCATCAGAATATTTATATGAACTATGGTTGAAGACTTACATTATAATGCAGAAAACAAAATATATAAATGGACCTACTTTCATTTTAGCATCAATCCACTTCATACTTGTTGCAGCTGAAAAGACATGAAAGAGAAACAAAACATCTGAGTTCTTGAGCTTCAGGAATATTCTGCAAAGCTTGATTGTCGAGATAGATACTTACACCAGATGACAATATCATAGTCCTCATATGCTGATGTAAGAAATTCATGTAAGTATGGTCTCATCAGCTCCTGGCCTGTTTCTGCACATGACTTATGATCTACATTTATAGAAAAAATATATATATATTAACAATATACACTACTAGACAATCACACAGATTATAGGAGGGTGTGCTCAGTTTTGCAACACAACATTTTATCACTTTGATAAGAAAATCGTATTTTCCTGAATAATTTTGACATGCTTCTTTGGTAATTGATCAAGCAGCCTGGAACATTATATCTCCAAAGAACCTTAATATTTCTTTAAGTAAAGAGTCATTAGTGTATTTGATGAGTTTCAGAGGGATGTACTCGTTCATGCTGTTTTTACTGTATATATTGGACAAAGAGAGTTTAATATACTAAACAGACAAAGGAGTTTATATACTAAAAAAATCTTGTCAGACATATTTAAAACAAGAATCATTTGAAGACATATTAAAAGACTTTAAGGATCACACTGCAGCCCACAAATACTAATTGTAATTTTAAATCTTTATACTTTGCCGCCATCCTTCAAACAACTAGGTTACCCATTTGTCAGTAAGTTTTTGTAAGGAAGTGAAAATTATTCACAATATAATAACATTTTGTATGATCACATTCTTTTATACATTTTAATAAGTAATTCACAATCCCCTGGTTTCACAGACAAGGCTTAAGCCAAGTCCCAGACTAAAATGCATGTCTGGCTGTTTTAACTAAAAGAAACATGCAATGACTTATCTTAAAATATGTAAGTGTCATTGATTTGCCTCAAGATGCACATCAGTATTTTTTTCCCTAAGGTTTATAAAAGCTACTTAAATGTCCTAATTGCACTATTGCTTAATCCTGACTTAACCTAAACCCTGTTTGTGAAACCAGGGCAATATATATATATATTTTTACATAAATGTATTAATGAATAAATTAATAAATTAATATTAGTTAATAATATTGCAGAGTAAATGACAGCAGAAGCTGATGTTTAAAAATGAAATGCATTTTACTCTACTGTTCTGATGCTCCCTGCCATGCTTGCTTAGCTTGTCACTTTGTTTCTGACATGCTTGGCCCCAACAATTACTGCTTGCAGCTATATTTATGAATACCAACACAAATTATGTTATCAGGGTACGTATTTTGTGTGGAGAATCCCCTCAGTGGCCTCTCTTGAACTTGTGACATTGTGAGGGGAGACTCTGTTTAGAACTATTGGTAACCTATTATCTGGACAACTGCAATCCTCAATACCTTTCTTGTTACCTTGCTAAGAGTGCCACCCAAGCTATTGGGTTTACTTTTTGGCAGTGCCTATAAACTTTCTCTGTTTGTGGGCATCTAAAATAAATCAATAAAACTAAACAATAAATATATCCATGAAAATATTAATATTAAGTTTAACATATTTGTCAGTGCTAAACATTCCTTATTTTTCTGAAATATAATTATATAATATAGGATGGTAAAATTGACCGTGATATTGTCATTCAGTATAATGGACGACACGGTGGTATAACAGAGAATTCGCATTACAATAAATGACAAAATTTCTACTTCACCTTATATTGTAGGCTATATGGCCACCTATATCAAGCAGTGAGCTTGACCAGTAAATTTAAATCACAATTATTCACAACTTTTACTTGTTAAAAAATTCACTGAATGCCATAAAGGGGTTAGACCAAATGTATCTTAGGTTACAATAAACTCAAGCAATCAACTCACTTTGCTGCAACACCACACTTCATGGCATCTTTTGATGATATCACAGACTGTCGAATGACTATCAATTTTTGTATGATTTCAGACTGGCCTTTTGTTTCTTTTACACTGAATGACCTCTAACAAACTACATATATGGGGAAAAAGTCCCTTGGTTATTTCATACCTTAAGAAAAAACAATAATACATGGCACTTTTAAAATAACAGCCAACTTGGGATTTTATACATTTTATATATAATTTTTCTACAAAAAAAATATTTGAATATTTCATCAGTAGAGCAAAATTGGATATGAATATTAAAAGGTAAGACCAGATGTTTCATCAGGCTATTATTATGTTTTACATTTAGATATGGCAAAACGCCATGTGACTGAGAAAAGTTACTGTATGGGCTTTAAGGTTTTCCTCTTGAACCATTTTTATATTTTGCTTAAAAATATAACCAAGCCCGGTTCAAAAGGAGGAGGGTTGAGCATTGGGCTAACAATCTGTCTCCGTAAAACCACACTGCTAAAAAAATAGCAAGCAAACAAAGCAAAAAGGATCAGCAAAAAGAAGGTTCGCTGCACATTATGACGGAGTCGGATGAAAGCCAATAGGAACTAGAGTTGATCCAGGCTGGAAAACTAGCACAGCTCACTCTAGAATTTGTTAATTACAAGTTACATATCTGGGCATTAGTGAGATGAGATGGACTGGCAGTGAAAGAAAGGCCAGCGATGGCAATATGATATTGTACTTCGGCCACGAGGAGCGACACATGCAGTGTCAGTATGATGCTGAGCAACAACGGCTTTTATTGGCTGGAAGCCTGTGAATGACGTATAATTACCGCCTTGTCATGATGTCATTGTGCTTTGTGGAGATGTCAATGCACAAATCAGTGTCAGCCGGCAGGGATTGGAACATGTTATTTGCCCATACGGCACCAGCCTCCATACTACCAGCAACGGTGAGCGTCGTCTTCTGTTCTGCAACACGTTTTTTTTTGTCCACAAACATTATTCACAAGAAGACCTGGTGTGCACCAAACAGTTTAATCAGCAACTTGATCGACTACATCAGCATTATCAGATGTTGGAGATCAGCGCTGCAGGACACGCGTATCTACCGTGGTGCTGACGTTGGTTCGGACCACCACCTTCTAAAAGCGGTACGGAGGTTGCAACTGAAGAAACAACAAGCACGCAAGCCAAAAAGACCATTTGATGTGGACAAGCTGAAGAATGATGCGGTCAATCAACAATACCAGCAGTGCCTTGCAGATGTGCTTCAGAATCCTGAGAATGGTACAGTGGAAGATCAATAGTCATCATTCAAACACATGGTGATATCTTGTGCTGAAGCAATAGTAGGCTGGCGAAAGGGAACACAACGTGAATGCTGGATCCAGGAAGATATCTGAAAACTGATTGATGAACGTAGAGCCGCTAAACAGATGAAGGAACAAGCAAGGACAGATGAAGACAGACAGGAAGAAGCAACGAGGTATCAGATACTTAACAAAAGAGTCAAGAGTTTCTTCCGAAGAGACAAAATACTGTGGCTTGAACAGAGATGCCAGGCAGCGCAAGCAGCAGCGTGGAAGACTGACATGAAAACACTGTACAAGATTGTTAGGGTGCTTTCACACCTGGCCCGTTGTTTCGGAACCTGGCACGTTTCCCCCCTTAGCTCGGTTCGTTTGGGCATATGTGAACACGGCAATCACGCTCGGATCCACGCCAAAACAATCGGTCCAAGATCGCCTGAACGAGGTGGTCTCGGCTCGATTGAAAACGAACTCTGGAGCGGTTCGGTTGTAGTGAAGAAGCAATCGATCTAACGGACCAATGAACCAGGCTATATCACAATGTATAATGGGTAATTACGTGAAAGTTCCATGAAAAGCATTAGCTTTGTTGTTTTGCTAATACCTCAGAATTAACCTGTGAATGTCTGTGGGTGAGCACGTCTTTGCCATTCAAAATAAAAAAGCGCGCATTTAAATTTTATAATGCCGTCTTATTACTCTTCTTCCTAGTAGGTGCATTTAAAAAAAAAATTCCTGATGAATCCTGGACTCCTGCTCAAAATGACAAATTAATATAACGACAGCTACCAAAAAAAACAACAATAAGCCCCCGAAGCTGTTGTCATTCCATCCTGACGGTTGACAGCCATGACAGCTAAGTGGAATCCCTGAAAATAAACCATGGAACTTTGACCAATGAGAGAACAGTTTAATTGCGCGTGACTTGTATTAAAGGGGTCATATGATGTTGCTAAAAAGAACATTATTTTGTGTATTTGGTGTAATAAAATGTGTTTATGTGGTTTAAGGTAAAAAAAACAACAACATTATTTTCCACATACTGTACATTATTGTTTCTCCTCTATGCCCCGCCTTTCTGAAACGCGTCGATTTTTACAAAGCTCATCGGTCTGAAAAGCGAGGTGTGCTGTGATTGGCCAGCTATCCAGTGCATTGTGATTGGACGAATACCACAAGCGTGTGACGGAAATGTTACACCCCTTGCCATATTGTGATGCCTTGTCCCGGCCAGAGCGACGAGACAAAAACATTAAAACCCATTATAAACGTATTTGGCGGCTGCAACAACAATACTACAGCGAGAATAAAAAAAGTTACGCCTTCTTTCTTTGCGTGAACATTTGGGCGGCGTTATGCAAATCTTCCCACATTATGACGTAGACATGTGGGGGCTTGTTAGAACGAGCCGTTTTAGGTAGGCGTGGTTGACTCTTAACTTTTATAAAGAATATCTCTTTGGATTTGAGACTTTGGTCTTTGCAACTTTACAGATCTTCTTTATGCACCAAGAGCTTGTAACACTCCAAAGATTGAAATCGCATCATATGACCCCTTTAACAAATTTGGTCCATTTAGAAACTTTGCCGTGTGAAAGCGAACCTCATCAAAAATAAAATGCAACATTGTAATAATTTGAATCCCTGTTTTGGAACAAAGCAATCGATCTACAGGTGTGAAAGCACCCTTAAAGAACTGACTGAAACCTTGAACAATGTCAATGCACCCGTCAGAGATAAGAACAAAAGAAGAGCAAGACCACCGCTGGTTTTAACCAGCCTGAGCTGCGATTTTGACCCCAGGGATTTCTCCCTGGAATTACAAGTAAAAACAGAATCAATCACAACTGATGAGTTGGAACAAGTGCTGAAAACACTGAAGAATGGCAAGGTAGCAGGGCAAGATCAGATTGCCGCAGAACTTCTGAAGCATGGCGGCACTAGTTTGGTACAAGCACTAAGGCAATTGATAAACAAATGCTGGGAAGAAGTTGCCGAAGAAGGGAACCATTACTTACTGTGGTAACTGGCACGGTATCACACTTTTGTCAGTGCCTAGAAAGGCCTTTTGCTCTGTTCTGCTAGTAAGGCTCAGAGACGCTGTTGATTCACAGTTGCGAGAAGAGCAAGCATGATTCTGGCATGGTTGGTCCTACACAGAACAAATCTTTATTCTGCACAACATAATGGAACAGTGTGTTGAATTTTAGCATCCTCTTGTGGTCAATTTCATTGCATTCGACAGCGTCCACCATTCTTTGATGTTGTGCCAGGTGTGAGGCAAGGGTGCATCTTGTCACCCTTGCTATTCTTGATCTCCATATACTTTGTTATGCGGACAACAGCAAGTGGGAAGGATTGCGGCATTTCATGGACAGACCAGACAAGGCTGGCTGATCTTGACTTTGTAGATGATACTGCATTTACTAGCAGAGTCATGGGAGAAGCTACAGCAACTTACTACCAAGCTAGAAAAATTGACACTTAAGATTGGTCTGTGAATCAACATCAAAAAGACCCAAGTAATGCAAATGAGTAGGGAAGAAGATGTACTGATGCCAGTCACCATTGGCAACCAGCCACTCACTGATATAGACCAGTTCACATATTCGGGCAGTGTGATTACACAAGATGGTGACTTGGAGCCGGATGTAAACCAACGCATTGGCAAGGCAGCCACGACAAATCCCGACAGTAAACTGCTGCCGCATTCTATTTATGACGTGCTGACACAAATTTCAAATGATTTTCAACGGTCGTTTTGTCGCATCCAGTGTAGACAGACTTTAGCTGATGCGGCACGACATGATAACTGTCGCGTCCGGTGTAGACACGGTGTAACAGTTGCCTGTTACATTACAGTAAATAAAATTTCACTTACCACATAAACAGAGTAAGGAGAGATGACTGAAGACGATGGCGAATGATTTGCAGATCCTGTGCACCACTGACAAACATCTAATCTTGTAAAATGTGTGGTAAGTACTGCTGCTCCATAGTAAAACAGACTATGTGCGATCTCGAAAGTGAAAGTGAAACAAAAACTAAAAAGCCATAGTGCATTCAAAAGCAGTTTCAATGCCAGGTATAATAGCGGCTCCCTAATGCCCGAAATATATGTAGTATAATTACCCAATGATATAACCACGAGGGAAAATATTGAAATATATATTTTCCTCCCATCTCGTAATTATTCCCTTCAGGGGTTCCTCCTACACATAATTTTCTTTCCGAACACGGTATTGGGATGCGGAGGATTGCGGGGGGGGGATCATGATGCCAGCTCAACATCGTGATGTCTATCAGCCATCGGCGATGGCATCGTCTATCGGCCCAACCCTAGTCTAGCTCCACCATTTAGGTACCAGACTACTATGCTAGGTACCCCAACGGAAGGGTCCCAAAAAAGTGGTAGGGTATGTTTGCTACTTTGGTTCCAAACGGAAATAATTGCGTACCGTACTGTACCACTCGGTGGAAATGAGCCATATATGTCCATTGTGTTACCGATGGCAATCTACGCCAGTGAGACCTGGAGAAACACAGTGCACATTGCCCACAAGCTGAATGTGTTCCACCAACGGTACCTCAGATGCATTCTCTGCATCAAATACCACTACCGTATTACTAATGAAGAGATTCTGCGCAGTGCAAAAACTATTTTTTTTTCAGACAAGGAAGGCCAAAAAAGACCTGGCGAAGAACATCCAAAGAGGATTTACAGATGGACCTAAGAGAGAGAAGAGCTTAAAATAAGTAGGCCTATCTGCTAAATACAAACAAACAAATAATCAAACACTCTCCTCGAGGGCAAAAAACAAAATTAACAAATAATTTAAAAGTTGACACAGCGCATACTTTTTAACTGTAGAAACGGTAAAATGGTGCTACCGTTGTCATTATGTCTCGCAGGATGCCTGGGCTAGACAGATTTATTCACAGCTACATACATAATCAGAAGCATGTGTCTGGGTTTTAAAGACTCACCAAAGAGCGTATAGTCAATATCTAGAACGAGCAATTTTTTTCCTGGTCTTGGGGGATTTAACTCCTCAACTTTATAGTCTTTTACACGACGAGCTATCTTGGCCAAATTCTCCTCTCTGTATGAAAAGAAAACAAATATTCTTTGAAGGATAGAAAGTAAAAAAACAACAACCAGCATTTGTTTGACGTTTTGTAACTTGATCAACTTAATGCATCCTAAATGAATTAAAGTATTCATTTACTTAACAAAAACTCACACCAAACTTTTGAAAGTAGAATGAATGAATAAATAAAATAACTGGGTGCTACTGGCCTGTTTTCAACCTCAGTTACTTCCTCTTCAATGTCAAAGTCATTGACAACATCATTTTCTGGTGGAGGCGCCAAGACATCTTCCTATGAAAAGGGAACTCAAAGGTTATGAGATCTTGCACAGCACAAAGAATACAAATTATTTTACGAATACAGTAAGCTTTAAAACTATATTTTATAACATAAAATCTAACCATGTTTAAAAAAATCACCAGGTGAAGGATTTTATTTTTTATTTAACAGCTTTCAAAAATATATGATTAAAATCAATAGTATTACATACCAGACTTTCCTCTCTGGTGCCCATCATCATAATTTTGGTATTGGGCTTCAACTTCAAGTCACCCAGTTTGACATCGTCATCTGCTGGTTTACCTGACGAAATAAGAGAGTTAAACAACAATCTGTTCAAATTTGTTTTGTTTAGTTCTGTTTTTTACTTTGCATATTGTGTATCAGACATTGTGTCTGTTTTTAATGCCGCTCACCTTTCACTTTCAACCCCAGGAGCTTCTGTCGTTCTGGGAGCACTCCTGTGAGAGATTTAATGGACTGTTTCAGATCCAACACGGTGTCCTCCTCAGACAGTGTGGTAATGGAGTACTCCTGTCCACCCCACTTTATAATAACCGAAACAGACATGCTGGTGGGCAAGCTGTGAAAGATTTTTTTGTTATTTGTTCATTATAGGAGTAATTTTTTTAAATATTAAATTAACTGTCAGCTTGTCAGAAATTCAATTAACACTTTAAGGATTACATTAGCATATAGATGTTACCTTGGCAACGCTACACCATCAGCAACAGAAGAGGTCCACTGGTCAAAACACAACAAAATAAATGGGTCAGGTGCTACATTTCTGTAAAAAAACAACCTCGGCTGAAAACACACCCTAATATTATGTCATGAACAACATTACAGACTGAGCATTGTTTTATTTCTGTTCTTGTTAAAATAATAATAATAAAAAAAGTGTAACTAGTACTTGATTTATTTGTTTTACAATTCTTTTTATTAAAGACGAGGGATAAATGGATCTGGCTGGCATACTGCTTTAGTGACCAAGCATGCATTAGCCCCTTAGCTTTTAACTCATTAAGCTCTTTTGCTATGTAATACATTAATCACATTTGTTCTGAATAATCGTAACCAATAATAATAACTTCTCGATTAATTTCATTCAAGCCATCTACATCGGACAGAAAAAAAATAATAGGTAAATCCTGTAAAGGTTTCTCACTTACATAAAATCTAGTTCATTCAAAGCTCAAGCTGACTACTGCAGTTACTCATTTGCTTTCTTCTTCTTCTCTCTGCTTATGACGGCCTGACTACTGCGACCGTTGTGCCTACCATACTGCCACCTGCCTCTTCTTCTTCTTCTAATAACGTTTTATGGCGGATGGCAAACCAACTTCTGGCATAGACATATAAAATAGTATTTATATGTCTATGGTTGTGCCTACCATACTGCCACCTGCTTCTTCTTCTTCTTCTAATAACGTTTTATGGCGGATGGCAAACCAACTTCTGGTGCATTTACCGCCACCAACTGGACTGGAGTGTGAAGCACTAAAAAGCAACTAATATTTTTGATCTTTTATTTTTTTTTAAATCACAAATATCTAACCTTTCATTGAACTAAAACAATTGAAAATGGGGGAAAATCTCATTATGAAATAAATGTTTTTCTCAGAAACACGTTGGACACAATTATTGGCACCCCTAGAAATTCTTATGAGTATGAGGAAATTCCTAGAGATTCTTATTAGAGTTTCTTATGAGAAAATCTAAATATCTGTGAAGTATATTCCCATCCATATTTACAATTTTGAGCATACCAGGGTGATTATGAACATGAAATTATCCAGCCATGGCTTCCTGTTTCACAGGA